CAGCCCGGGCGTGGGTGTGTGTGGGCAGGCGGGCCAGGTCTGGCCTGGCTCTGGCTGCTTTGGACCATCTGCACCCTGGCCCGGGACAGATGGTTTTCTTTCTTGTAAAATTGTGGACTTTTCAAACCTGTTGACTAAACAGTCATTAATTTATATTTGTGAAAAAAAAAATGCCACTGTCCTAGTGATTTCTGATGTAAATAATGTTGTTTATATAGTATGTATTAAATTTTCCTACATTGTAAAGCTGCCGTAGGTTGGAGTCTTGTCTGCATATGGGCATTATACTCGGGAGTTTGGAAGCAGGCCAACGTGTATTATTGGGCCTGGCACGAGCATAAAGTGGACATTGCCCAGCTGCCCTTCTCCCGCTCGCTGGGCCATGGGGACTAGGAGACAGCGTGTGCAATGTGGTGCAATGTGGCCTCTCACCAGCCTACAACCAGCCGGCTGGAGTGACCAGCGATTGGCAGCTCCCAGCATGCTGTAGTGGGGCCAGTGCATCCCAGGGTATGCCCAGCAACCTTGCTGTCCCTCTCGAGGACAGCTGCCAGCCCAATGCCCCATCAGGTGTCTGGAGAAGGGGCATGGGGATGGTGCCATGGAAACGCTGACAATGTTAGCACCAGCAGTTGGTCCCTGGTGGCAAGACAGATGTGGGCTAAGGGCCTGTGGACTCCTGCATCCTCACAAATTACCCTAATTAATGCTTGACCCCACCCCACCCATGTGTCCAGGCCACCTGTGGGGGAGAAGGGTCTGGGATGGGTAAAAGGCAAGAATGCTGTTTACCGCCGCGAACTTGGATCATGGAGCCGCTTGCTGCTGGTTCCCTGGGGACTGACAGTTGACCAGGAGGCCCGGCTTTTGCTCCAAAGGTCGCTGATGGAAACCATGCCTTTGCCCGCCAGGCCAGCACCGTGCAGCTCCCCACGCCTCCCAGATGTGGTGGTTCAGTGCTTGCAGTTGGGGTGAGCTAGAGCCCCAACTCTCCCTACAGCTGCTGGTCCTCCTGGCTCGCCATTCCGGGCATCCTCTGCTTCATCCCCAGGGCCCCAGAGGCCAGCATGCTCACCTGGAAGGAAGAGAGGCCTGCAGGTCTAGGGGCTTGTGCCTGCCATCCTCCCTCCTTCCTGAGCTAAGGCACGGCCATGGCCTTGGGGACCTGGACTAGCTGAAAGTGTCTCGTCCACAGGTGGTACCCCACTGCAGGCACTGGCCTCACCCCCATCACAGGAAAGGAGCAGGCCCCCTCGGGTGTTGCAGTCTGTGGGGAGGCCACCCTGGGGGTGAGGGAGTGGAAGGGGGGTGGTTCCTGGTCGCTGCTGGGAGAGGGACTTGCAAAAAAAACCCGGGCTGGATTGGCTCAGCCTGGATGGGAGCACTTGGGCAGAGCCTCCCCTCTAGGCTTCCCAGTGCCGAGGGAGACGTCTCTGGAACTGGATATTATCCGGGACATGCTTTCCCCATGGCCAAGACCAAGAGTCCCTTGGTGTGGAGCGCGGACCCTGTTGCAGTAGCTGGGGGTTAGCTGGGGCAAGCTAGAATGCACCCTGAGCTGAGGGAACGGGGCAGACCCCGGGCACAGCACCAGCCATATGAGAGGAAGTCAGTGTGTTGCTGGAATTAGGTTGGGCATGGGAGTAGAGAGTGAGGATCAGGTGGCCTAGGGGTGGACAGACCTGGATTTGAACCATCGGGTCCTGGAGTTTAGCTGCAAGCCCAGGCTGTAGACAGGAGTGCCTGTGTGTGCGTGTGTGTGCGTGTGGGGGGGGGTTTATTGTGGTGCCTCGTGATGGACTTGACATCTGTCATTCTCCAAGGGGGGTTGGGACACATCTGAGACTCCAGGGAGCCAGATCCTGAGTGGCTGCAGGTCCGGCACATTCCAGCAGGGGGCAGCGTGTCTCCACCCACTCCCGTCTCAGCGCTGAGCCCAGATTCCAGGCAGCCTGCTTAGCGCCTCCCAGCTGCCCCCAGAAGCTCAGGAGCCTCACAGGACGTGGGGGCGACTTCAGGGGGGATCTGACCCTGCACTCCCCACCCCCACACCTTTCCATCCTCCCCACCTCTCACATGCATCCCAGCACCTGGCACCCCCAGACCTTGAGGTCTGGGCTGGTTAAGAAAACATCCCCACGTGCACAAAAACCCCAGCCCTGCCTGTCTCGTCCAGCTTCTCAGTCCTCGCGAGGTCGATGGCCCATTTTCCAGTTGTACGTCCCGGGTTCTAGAACACTCAACATGTCCTCTGTCCCCATGGCAGATGCCCATGTCACACTCTGGCCACCACTCCTCCTTATTCCCCTCTTGTCTCCCCCACCCCCACTCCCGCTCCGTGTCCCCCTGTTCTCCCCATAGCCCTGCGGCTCTCTTCTGGACATGCATCATCCTCATCGTCATGCCTTTGCCATGGCCTTGCAAGTGGCTGTACACAGCATACTGGCCCTTGAGTCTGGAAGTTGGTTCAATGTCACCCCCCCCCCCCCCCAGAAAGCTAGGCAGCACCCGGCAACCCGTTTTCCCCACGTGTCACAAATGCTTCTTGGCGGGGAGGGCCAGCTGCCCAGCTTCCTCCTGATCCCCCCCCTTACACACCCCACTGCTGTGATGGGTGTGACCCTTACTCCAGACCTCCTTGTCCCTACCTGTTCACTTAGGAGCCCACTCACTTGGAGAGTCCCTTCTCAGGGTCCTCCTAGCTCTGCAGCTCCACCCTCTTGTCTTCTTTCCTGTTTGCAGGTGTGCAGGGGCTACTCTGGCTTGGTGCTTGGGGGTCACTCGCGGTGGGACAGACCAGGGAGGGCTGGGGACTCGACCCTCCCTGGCTGGCCTCAGGCCTGCCAGACTTGAGCCCGGTGTTTGGAACTGGTTCCTGAGCCCCTGGAACCATCCATTTCAATCCAGTCCAAGTCAGACTAGACCCTCCCCAGCTTAGCCAGCTCGGGATTCCCGGCAGCAAAGCATGGAGTGAGAGTGAGTGCCCCCTGCCCTGCCCCCGGCTGCCCTGGCTGTGCCTCTGCTGAGCTGTCATCTCCCCACAGGACCCTGGTCTGTCTGTCCCTCATCTGGCCACACTGTTTCCTGCTATCCCCAAACATCTCTGCGTTGTCCAAACTCTCCTCCCCACCTTCTCCCTGGGTTTCCGCATGGATCCGACTCCAGGACCATGTGGGTGGAGCAGAGAAGGATGTGCCCGCAGCCCTCTGTCCACCTCGTGCCCAGCAGCAGGGACATCACTGACCATGCGTCTCCACAGGGTACTTGGTCTCTACGCCTGCCACTTGGCCCCAAGCAGCTGGGAAAATTGTTAGATGAGTGTTGACTGTATCAAGTGGACACTTGTGCACCAGGGCCCCCATGGGTGGCTGAGATCTGAGAACTCACTGGCTGTTCCCGCCCTAAGTGGTGTTGGGGGCTCTCAGATCCATTTTATGGATTTTGGGCCACACCTGGAGAGGGTCAGGAGTTACTCCTGGCTCTGTGCTTGGGGATCATTCCTGGCGGTGCTCGGGGGACCATATGGGGTGCTGGGGATTGAGCTGGGGTCACAGCTATGTGTAAGGCAAATTCCCTCCCCACTGTCCTGTCACTCTGGTCTGTCCCAGATCCATTTTAAAAAGAGTGAAGGCTCCAAAAATGTTCAGGGAGACGTGTGGTCAATCACTCTACCCTTCCCTGACTCACCTTGGCTGGATGGGCAGTGAGGGCCTGGAACTTCTGACAGAGAGGAGTGTGTGTGTGTGTGTGTGTGTGTGTGTGTGTGTGTGTGTATAGGGGGGTTCTCTGTAAAGGGGCCGTACCTCCCATCTGTACAGGGCACACACAGGCACATTCCTGCACATACACACATGCATAATGCATGCACACACATACACACACACAGAGGCATGCACACACATAGGTCGTGCCCTCATACACTTTTGGTGGGGAGGGGTGACAGACACCCCCACCACCCACCCCGCACCCACAGGCCAAGCCAGGCTGAGCCTCTCTCTTAGGAAACAAACTCCACCACGGAGCCCCGGAGAAAATATCAAAACAAAACAACCCCCCGAACTTTACTTGCGTGTAAGCCGTTAATAAATAATTTACAGTATGTACACAGAGGACACTCACACAGGGTGCGGTGAGGGGGTCCCCACTTCCAAGCAGAACGCGGTCAAACAATGAAATAAAGTGCATCACGGTTAACTTCCAACACGGCGGGGGGGGGATAAGGGTCGGGGGGAATCACGGAAGGGGGGTTTTTGGGGAGCCGGGCCGCGCCCCTGGGGCAGCACGGAGGACCTCATGGAGGAGGAGATGGGAACCTTGCTCCCACCTCCTGGCCAGTGTATGAGAGGTCCCTGTGTGGGGGACAGCAGAGGGACCGCGGCAGAGGCTGGGGTGGGGTGGGCAGTGCAGACCCATCTGGGTGTGGAGCTCTGCGTGCTGCTGGGCCGGGGGGTGGGGTGGCGGGGGGGGTCCCTGGACCAGCAGCAGAGTGGAGATGGGTGTTCCTGGAGTGGACAGGAGGCGGGGGCCGCTTCAAGGATACTCGCTCGCTCAGCAGCAGGGTGGGAGCCCGGGAGGGAGAGGGGGGACGGAGCAGGCCAGCTGGACCCGTCCGGCCTCGCCTGCCCGGGGAGCTCTGCACCAGAAATGCAGTGGGGACCCCACTCCAGAGCACTGAGTGCCCACAGCGTGCTCCCCTCAGCTTAAGGCCCCCACAAAAGAGCTCCACCTTTATACCCAAGGATCTCCCACTGCGATTTGCTACAGCCTCCCCCCGCCCCCCATCCAGCAGGCCCTGTGGTAGGCTGGGGTGGGGTAAGGGCAGCCCTGCCTGGGGGAGGGGGGTCCCAGTGGGGTTTTAGTGTGTGAGTGTGTGCGCGCGCATGGGTGCACAGCCCCGGGGCGGGCGGCAGTGGGGTAGGATGGTTCAGTGCATTGCTAGGAGGAGCAGGAGGGCTGGGGAAGTGGGCAGGGGATTTCCCCCCCCTCCCCAATCCGCAGGGCCTCTGGCGGGGCAAGGTTGGGGGGGCTGGAGTGGCCCCCACACTACAGGGACCTATTCCTCCAGACCATCACAGCTCTGGTCACCCCGTGCCCAGTTCCTGCAGCCCAGAGGGCGTCCCCTACAGCTGGCATCCGGAGGTAGGGGCAGGGTGGGGGTGGGGGTTACACAGCCTCCAGAAGCAGAAAGAGGAGCAGGACGCCTCCGATGAGGGTCCCGGCGGCTGGGGGTGGGCCGGGAGCGGCGGCCCGGCCGGGGGGCTCCCGAGTCCGCCCATAGAGATGCAGCCGCTCCTTGTCGGCGTGCAGCGCCTTTACGTCCTCCAGCGCGTAGTAGGCGGCGAGGGTGAAGTTCACGTCTCCCGTGGTGAGCAGGTCGAAGACGCAGGCCTGGTAGTACAAGTCCTCCACCGGGAGCTTCTCCTTGCACTTGGCCACGGCCGTCTCGTAGGGGAAGGTGGCGCCGGGGAGGGCGGGCGCGGGGCTGGGGGCGGCCCGCACGGCCTGGAAGTCGATCTGCTGGTTGCGGGGGCAGCCCCGCAGGCACAGGTAGAGGCCCTGGCCCTCCCGGTCCTCCACGGCGTGGACCACCTCCTCGGGCATGCGCACGGCGAAGGTCAGGTAGCGCCCCACCTGGCGGATGACGATGGTGGTGCCGATGTACCGGGCCTGGATCTCCACGTGCCGGCCCGACACCTTTTCGGTGATCTTCAGGCTGCCCGCGCCCTGCCGGTCCCCGCCGTTCTTGGAGCCGTCGGCGAAGGCGGCTGGCAGCTCGTCCGTCTCGGCCTGGTACACCTTCTGGTCCACACACTCCTGGAAGTTCTTGAAGATGATGGTGAGCTGCAGGGGAAGGGCCGAGAGGGGCGTGAGCGGGCAGCGGGCACTGTGGGGCCAAGGATGGGGTGAGGGAGGGGACTGTGGACTCCCAGGACCACCCTCCCCCATTGCAGGGCTCTGCTCTATGCCTCTATATAAATGCTGGCTTGGGGGCCACACCCAGCGGTGCTCAGGGCCTACTCCTGGCTCTGTGCTCGGGGATCACGCTTGGTGGGGCTTGGGGAGCCCTGTGGGGTGCCGGGGATGGAATCTGGATTGACCGTAGCAAGGCAAGCGCCCTCCCCACTGTGCTGTCGCTCCTGTCCCTTCTTGACATTTTCTGGACGACAACTGGCGTTGCTTGTTTGTTTGTTTTTTGATTTGTCATGGATGGGGTGGGGGTCGGGGTATCAGTCCTGATAGTCCTGGGGGGCCATGCAGGATATCTCCTGGGGTGGGAGATGACGGCTTCCAGCAGCCTCTGCGGCCCGCATGGAACTTGCTGGCCCGGCCCTGCCATGAGAACATGCTTGGATCTTCCGATCTGGGTCAGTTCCCCAGTGCTCCTGACCCACTGCAATTGGAGGGGTGGGGTCAGCACCCTCAGCATCTCCCCCACCACACCCGCACTCTCTGATGCCTTGTGACTATGGAGCTTCCATCTCCAGAACATTTCTTTAAACCAGCTGTTCATCTGCTGGGACTAGGATCATGGTTTGGGGAGCGGGAATGATAGTTGAGTGGGGAGGGCACTTGCATCAGAACCAGGAGCACAGAACCAGGGGTGAGCCCTGAGCGATGTTGGATGTGGCCCATAAAGCAGAAACAAAACAAAACAAAACTCAGCAAACCCGAACCCAAAAACAAAACACCAATTTTGGGCTCTGGAGGCGCTTTTTGGGCACCCCCTTACCTTGCTGGTGGCGGTGGCGGCCGAGCCGGGCAGCACGGGTGTGTTGGTGACCTGCACATTCAGGTAGTTATTGTCGATAAGCGGCCAGGCGCCCTGTACCTTGCAGGTCTGGAAGAGGTCGGTGAAAGTCCGCAGGTGCGGGTCCCCAAAGAAGCCACAGTGCGTGTAGTTGGGCGCGGCGCTGCGGTGGAAACTCTTCTCGTAGTGACAGATCTCGGGACTGTCCGAGCGCTCCTGGCTGTCCCCAGGCGGCGGTGGCGGCGGCGTGCGCGGGCGCGGCTGGGCCGTCGGGCCGTCCCGCGAGCAATTGTGCTGGCCCATGAGGTCGTCGATGCCGTGCACGGCCGAGTGGTAGGCCAGGTCCCCGCGGCACGTGCGCGCCGTCCGCCGCGTACACAGTGCGTAGGTGCGCAGCGCCGCGCAGAACTCGGGCGTGTCGTCCCCCGTGGCCGCTGCCGCGTGGCCGCCTGCTGTGGCGCTCCAGAAATCCGAGTTGCACTTGAGGATCTTGCACGGGGAGGTGGCTGCGGGGAGAGGGGCCGGCGGGGCAGTCAGTAAGGCCAGGCCTCCTGCTGGCCCGTTGGGGGCTGCTCCTTGGCACCCCCGTGGCCAAGGCCTCCGCAGGGCAGACCAAGCAATGCATGGACTGTGCAGATGGACAGAGGGAGGGGTTGGGGGGAGGGTGGACAGGGGAAGGGGATGGAGAGATGGTCCAGGTGGGGAGGCGCTTGCCTTGCATGAAGCCAACCAAGGTTCCATTCCTGGCACCCCTTACAGTTCCCTGAGCCCACCAGGGGTGATCCTTGAGTGCAGAGCCAGGAGGAAGCCCTGAGCATTGCCGGGTGTGGCTTCCAAACAACACACACACACACACACACACACACACACACACACACACACACACACACACACCAAGCTTTGAAGTTGTCAAGGAACACAGCTGAGAATCCAGGGGCTGGCAGTGGCGTTCCTCTGAGGCCTTGGGCAGTGTGGGACACACAGGGTTGAGCAAGAGGTTTCGCCCCTGCAATAAACAGTGCTGGTTGGGGGAGCACATACTTTGCATGCAGGAGACCTGGGTCCAACCCAGCCACTGTATGTCCCCCCCCCACCTCAGCACTATTGGGAGTGGCCACCCCCCACCCCCCTGCCCCACAACAAATGTGAAAGAGCAGGGACCGTAAGGGTTCTAGAACATTCCATGCATGAGTGAGACCCTGAGTTAGATTCTGGGTACCACAGAATGAATGAATGAATGAATGAATGAATACAAAAAATTTAAAAAGCAGAACATAGGGGCCGGAGAGATAATGCAACAATTAAGATGATGCTTATCTTGCACAAAGCAGAGCCAAGTTAGATGCCCCCGGCACCCCATAGGGTCCCCTGAGCACAGAGCCAGGAGTAAGTCCTGACCAAGGCTGGGAGTGGCCCAAAAATCAATAAAGAAAACAAAACAGAATTTAATTGCCAGCAGACCAGGAGGGAGGGGCCTTTTGAGCCTTTGAGCCGGGAGGCTCCGGTTAGGAGCAGGAGGTGGAGTGGCAAATCCAGGGGGGAGCTCCCCTCCCCCCACCTGCTGCCTACTGTACCCCTTCACTTCCCTTCAGGGGAGCGGGCAGGAATCCCCCCACGGGACGCCCCCCTACAATACCCTACTTCAGTGCATAGCTGGGGTTCAGACCTGGGAGAAGCTGAGACCTCCACAATCACCCTGACCCCCATCTCTGGACCCACTTTATCCAGGTCCCTGGTGCTGTCCACCCTCTGCCAGTCCCCAGAAGTCTCATAGGACCCCACAAATAAAGAAGCTCATGCCCCCAACGCTGCCATCAGGAGCTCCCCATACTCTGGTGGCCCCATTCAAAGCATTTCACAAGATTTGATGCCTTTTGGGACACCCATCAGACCAGGCCCCCAGCTCCATATTGGGGGAGCTAGGGGACACCCCTCGGTCACCAGGGTGCAGACCCTTTCAGTCCTGGGGAAGTGGGCCCAGGCTGGGGTTGGGGGAATAAAGCCAATAGCTGACAAGGCTGGATTCTTTGCCTACAAATAACTCTGGCGATGCCCCCTTGGAAATAGGGTGACCCGGAGAGGTGGGGTGCCCTGGCCTGAGTGCCCGGCCAGGCTGGAGGAAATATTTATACACCAGCGTGGCATTTGCCGCCTTTCCAGCTCTCTTTTGAACTGTTAATCAAGCCCAATCTGGGGGATAATAGACTGATTATTGTCGTGGTGTTTGCATAACAAAGGGGGGCCAAAGAAGCCGCTAGGCCCTGCGCCAGGGGCGTGAGGCCGGCCCTCAGCGAGGAATGCGGCCGCAGCCCCAGCCCCGACCCGGGAAGCCAGACAATGCCCTCTGCCTCGGAGAAAAGCCCTAACGACCCATAAATTACCCGCGGGCGAAGGGATTAGCTCCGGTTTCAGAGGCGGTTGGGGGGGGGCGGTCGTGCTGGGGAGTGGAGACCCCTTAACTACCCAGCAGCTCCGTGGTCACTCCAGGGTCACCCAACACCCTGTAGAATCAGTCTCCTTTTGCTTCTAGGGTGCAAAGCAAACTCTAACCTGTTTTTTTTTTTTTTTTTTAAAACACGACCCAGTTTGAATTCAGGTCGGGGCATGGTCGTCGGGGGCTGATGCGGGTGAGATGGGGTGGAATATGTGGGGGGCATGGCTGGTATGAGCAGGTGTGGGCAGTGACTAGCAGAAAGCAAATGTGCGCGGCAAAGCCCATTTCTCCTGCACCACCAGGGAGTACCAGAAACGGAGCAGATGCCTCAGAGCCTGGGGTCTGCAGGGTGCAGGAGTACCCTAGGGATTCCCCCCTTCAGCCACCAGGTGCTCCTACATTAAGTTTGCTCTGGAGAAGTACCCCCGCATGGTCTCTATCTTTCCCACTGGCCCCCATGTCAGTCAGAGTTGAGGGTTGCAGCTGCATCCCTTGGATGGTACCTGGATCGCCGTCAGGGAGTCCCGGCAGGGCCCTTCACCTATTTTAGGAAGTGGCTGGCGTGATGGCACAGCGGTAGGGTGTTTGCCCTGCACACAGCCAGCCCAGCTGAGCCAGGTTCAATTCCTCCGCCCCTCAAGAGAGGTGAGCCTGGCAAGCTACTGAGAGTATTCAATATGCCAAACACAGTAACAAGTCTCAAAATGGGAACGTTACTGGGCCCGCTCCAGCAGATCGATGAACAGCGGGAGGACAGCCATAAGTTACCCAAGAGGGGAAGTTTTGGGCTGGGCTGGGAACGGGAGGGGCAAAACAGCTGAAAAAAGAAATTCCCCACGGGGCTGGAGCGACAGTACAACGGGGAGGGTGTTTGCCTTCCATGAGGTTTACCTGGGTTCGATCCCCAGTACCCTGTAGGTTCCCTGAGCCACCCCGCAGTTGTGATCCCTGAGCACAGAGCCAGGAGTAACCCCTGAGCACCGCTGGCTGTGGTCTAAAAACACAATAAAAGGTGAGGGGCTGTATCTCCTCAGGCACCCACATCTCTGCAAACCACACCAGGCCCACAGCTGTGCGGCCATGGAGGCAGGAGAGGTGGAGCCCGCACACTGCCACATCAGACTCCCAGAAAAAATAAATTTTTAAAGACTCAAGGCCTGGCCTGCAGCCAATCTGGGTTTTGACCCTGGGTGCTGCATAAGAAGCGACCTCTGAGCATGGAGCCAGGAGTAAGCCCTGAGCACTGCAGGGTGTGGCCCCAAAACCAAAATAAAGAAAGAAAAATTCCAGCATAGAAAATGCCACCCCCGCCGCCCCCTCCTGCCCAGCTCCAGTCTTCACAGTACAGTGCCCATGGCAGCAGAGAGGCCAGACACTCCTTTTGACCTGTAGGGGTGTGGCTCCCACCCAGCCAGCCAGGAAGCCAGCTCAAGACCTCCCCCTAACCCAATCTTCCCTCCCCCCCCCCCATTCTCCAAACTCTAGGAGTGGGGATGGGGGCTCCAGTCAAACTGGCCTCGCCTGGTGTCTGGGTGCTCCTCCTGAGAGCAGAAACAGAGGGACAGCCCCAGCTACTCCCAGCCCCTCCCTGACCTAATACACAGAGACAAAAGGGGGCTTTCTCCCCAGGCAACCCCACCGACAGCGGGCCAGTGGTGCCTGCCTCCCCAAGCCCACCGGAAGTTTGTTTCTCCGGAGACTCCCAACCATCCAATGATAAAGTCTCAGCCCTGCCACCAGTGGGCACACCAGCGAGCAGCTCTGCCCAGTACCAGGGGGCTAGGGCCCTGAAATAGGCAGGGGAGGGGCACATTCCCCACCGGTCACACCCCTGGAGGGTTTGCCAGATCCATAGCAAAGCAGGGACTCATGAAGCTGGGGTGTTCCCAGGGTAAACAGGCCTGTCCATCAGCTGCCGGAGGACCAGTGTGAATAAAGGGGCCTGGGACAGGTCAGGACCCTAGGTAGTATCTCCTCCTGGCAGGTTCTGGGGAGGGGGCATGGGGAGGCTCTTTGGGAGACCCTATGCAGCCACCCTCCTACTTGGCAGTTCCAGATCCCCAGTGTCTGTGCCCCACCACGTCCTCCAGCTCTGCAGCCTGGTTCCCCCACCTCCCAGGCACCAGTTGGGCAAGTGCTTAGGCATTGGCCCTGGGGCATTTCAGGCCACCAGGAGCCAAGCCGGGGGTTCTGGAAACTCAAAGTGCATAGGTACCTCACTGCACAGAGCACACAGGTAAATGTCTACACGGCAGAGACCATCACAGAGAACACAGGTGTCTATATGCAGAGACCAGTAGAGAGATGCAGTAACTGTCTACACTGCAGAGCCTGGCACAGAGATGGCAGGTAACCATCTATACTACAAGTAAGCATATATGCCACAGAGCACACAAGTAACTTCCTGTCAGACCCAGGCACGGAGAGTGCTGACTGGCTCTCCCGTGCATGTTGCCTGCCAGCGAAATGGGGCATGATCCCAGGCAGGAAACTCAGACCCAGGGCTGTGTCCTCAGCAGCTCTGCCCACCTGGACTGCAGAGCCAGTGGCCAAGGGGGACAGACTGGCCTCCATAGAGACAAAGACCTTTGGGTCTTTGTGTTTAGAAATGATTCTGGGGTGGGTAGAAGGGAGAGAGCTGGGCAGGCTGAGCACAAGGGACTCTGAATACCACTGGTTATGACTCCTGAATACTTGTCAGCCCCCACCCCCCCAAAAAAGGTCCCAGGCATAGACAAGACCAGGAGAGCAACCTGGGCCCAAGTTTCACAGACGGCGACTGAGCTCTGCTGGGAATGGACCCTAGAAAAGGCAGCACAAATGAGTCTTCTTTTCTTTTTCTTTTTTGATTTTTGGGTCACAACCAGTGATGCTCAGAGATTACTCCTGGCTCTGCACTCAGGAATTATTCCTGGCGGTGCTAGGGGCACCATATGGGATGCTGGGGATCAAACCCGGGTCGGCCACGTGCAGGCAAGCGACCTACCCGCTGTACTATTGTTCTGGCCCCGAGTCTTATATTCATAATCAGAAAAATATTTTAGAAAAATATGGGGATAATGTGTGTGGGGA